AGATGTCAGATTTTATTATGGTATAACTTCGAGGAAAGTGATTCATTGCGATCTTCCCAAGCTAACGTTCTCTGCTGATATGAAGCGGAAAGACTATATTGAATCCACTGTTAGGTCAGCTGCTAAGAAAATCGGTTCACTGTTAGGAGCAAAACATTTTTTCTCCGGAATCTATGTTGCATATCTATAAGTCTATATGCTTAGTATATTGCTGCCACATATGGTCTGGTGTCCCTGCTATTTAACTTAAACTTTTTTATAAAATCCAAAGAGGAATCAGCAATATTATTGGTCCTGATCTGGCGGCTCGGCTTCAGTTACTTTCCCACCGCGGTAAGGTTGTTTCTCTATCTTTTTATCTATAAATAATTTCATGGTAATTATTCGAATGACCTCTTCGCTATGATACCTAGACTTTTGGAATTTAAGCGCAGTACCTGACTTTTACAAATGAGCTGGCTAGATTTAGCTGTAATTTCTATGCTGACAGTTTCTTTTCTCGCACTTTCCGCTTGTGGAACTCCTTCCCGGCTCCATATTTTCCAACTTTAATCTGCAAAAATGTAAATCCAATGTTAATCACTATCCACTGTCTCCTGATTACTCTTTCCTCTTCCCGCTCATTATTAATGTTTCTGTTCCTAATCCTTCTACATCCTGTAACCCCCTTGTGTCTTAGTGGCTTTACTGCCTTTCATGGGGTGATACCGATTAAAAAATTAACCAAGCGATATTGGAAAAAACTTTCAATATCCTATTTCTCTGAGGTTTATATCATGTGAATGTCAGCTTTTAAACTATCCCTATTTAAAATATTGATAGTAATTCATTTTGACAGTGTCACGTTTTATGATGAACACAATGGAATATATATATATATATATATATATATATATATATATGTGTGTGTGTGTGTGTGTGTGAAAAGTGTATATAAATATAAACAAATATATATATGTATAATTATTTATATATTATATGCGCGGTACTTATTAGAAAGCGCTCAATATCAGAGATAGAGCTAACATATTTGGTTGGATAGATGTGAGTTTGTGACCCTGGGTTTCACGCTTTAGCGATCGTCAGACAAACTGATTAATGTTTTAAAAATTTAAAAATGTTTTTAATTTAATTTTAGTTAGCACGACGAATGACAAAACGACGAAATTTCCCCCACCACTTCCACAATAACACCAATACACGCAATCTACATAAACCCAAATTTTTTAAAACATTAATCAGTTTGTCTGACGATCGCTAAAGCGTGAAACCCAGGGTCACAAACTCACATCTATCCAACCAAATATATATATATATATATATATATATGTGTGTGTGTGTGTGTATGTATATATATATATAACAATTATAAAAAATGTTATTGGTCAGAGTTGAATTAGACCAGGAAACAGTTATATTAAAAAGTGCTCAATTCACATATAAACAAAATAAAAATAAAAATTTAACATGCAAATTAGGAGATCAGCTACTCACGCTATCTTGGTTTCAACCTTTCGGTATCCTCAGGCCAAATGATTTACTAACGCTTTATTACATATACAAACGCAAAACGTGAAGCGTAATAGAAGGGGAGGAGTAAAGAAAGAATATTGAAATTGTATTGAAGGGGGAGTAAATAAAATGTACATACTTTCATCCTGCTTCGTACGAACTCAGAAAGTACTTTTTAGTGTATATGCATCGTGACATTATTTCAGATCTTTCATTCAGTAGATTTTTGGGGGCCTGGAAATGTTATTATTATTAACTTTTCCTCCTGCTATAGCTGGCAGATATCACTACGATTGCTGTAAGGTTTGACTCTTCTTAATATTTTCCAGTGTACACTCAGATCTTTGTTATTTTTTTTCTTTTAATTCCCACACATGTCTAGCTAGTCTGGTACAATTCTTAAGGCTTTCTGGCTTGGATGATGATTTCTGATTATACCATCTCTTCTTGAAGCTGCCTTCAGTACACCCACGTATGTTTTGCTCTGGCCATTTACCATTTTACTTCGGCTTTGTAAATTATATACTAAGTAAATAATTTACTTCTCCTCCACTACAATTACAATATTGAATTACTGTGATGTCTTTATAAACTTTTTTTGGCAAGGTGGGCAATAGTCTGCATTGCGGAATGCGAAGGATCATTATTTTGCTTGAATATACCCTTTAGCAGAATGCTTCTTGGTCGTAACTTGTTCCACTTAAAAACTGACACGTCTGAGAATTTACAACAAATCTCTGCACTTATCTTAATGTCATCATCAAATTTCAAGAGACATATAATGTTTCTGTCTACAATATATATATGTATGTTAACCCTGTAAACTCCTACTGGAGAATATGGTCATAAACATAAACGCTAGGTGTTGCTGCTATGGTTCCTATACCAAGTGTCTAGCCCCACTCCGAACATCGTAGTCCCACTCTTATACTGGTGGCTAGCCAAAGCTAGAAATCCCAGTCTGCTCTTCTATTAACCACTAACTAGGAGTAAAAGAGATTGATCCATCTATTTACCACGAGTATTTGTTTAAAAGCCAACTGCCTCGATTGGAATTTGAAATCGACACTCCAATTTCACTTTGTAAGCCAACAACCGCTACTCTACACGTACATCAGCTGTCTACAGTACTAGCTGGACACATTACTTCATTGTCTTTTAACTTGTGTTTGGTTGACTATTTCCATGACAGACCGATCCCCAAGCCCAGTTATTTTGTCCATCCAATGTAGCTCTATATTCATCACTAAAATTCACTGTTGAGAAATCAGTTTTCATGTACTTCTTTACACGTTTCTCGATGTAATGTTTATTTGAAGGTAGTAGTTTTTTTGCTTTTATGTCTTTATCCATTTTGTTTAATATTCTGTAATTTTACTCTTTACATATATTTGCAACATCAGGGCACCTCGACCTGGTGAAGTAGTTAAGCGAACTTGTCTCGCTAGATCAATTGACTGAGTAGTGAGTTCAATTTTCACTGGGTGCTCCATACTTTTGACCTTGTGCCACATCTGAGTTACGCTTAGAAAATGAACACCATATATTTACAATATCAGTTTCTTCAAATATTTTCTTACTCGTCAATTCTTTTTTCTGGTCATTGATTTAAATTTCATTTTTTTTATTGTTCTGTAACATTTTAGTAATTTTCAAAGTTGTGTTTCCGTCTCTCAATAACTTTGCATTGTTTCGCTTTTGAAAGCTCATGGCAATCTTCTTATATCTGAAATTAAAAAAAAAATCATTAATAACCATATTGTTAAATACATTTTATTTAGAATATGATGAAAAATCCTTTTAATAAATAGTTATATCTCACCCTACAAGATTATGTAGAGGATACAACGGTATAAGGGTACACCTCCAAAAATTTAGAAGCCCAGAGCCTGGAAGCTGATCTCACCTCTGGCTGAGGTTTTACTTACCTGGCACAGGAGTTAACTTCTGTGCCGGAAGTGGAGTAAATGCTTCTTCTCAATTTAGAGGGGATAACTGCACAGTCCTGGGGATTCCAACATATCTCCAGCAACATCCCCATTGCAGTAAAAGAAGTAGGGTCCGTGTAATATCGATGCCAGTTTGACAGTGGTTGCAGGCAAAAGGTTTTGTCCATGGTCCATATGCAAGCGACTTTGTGTCACGTCTTGCCGTAGTGGAGAGGCCCGGTAAATATATCTGACCTAGTCACTTTCTCACTGACGTAACGTAGCTTTCCTCTTTCATGTTCTACAAATATTTCATTGTGACTGATTGGACGAGTTGTTTTTCCTGGTGCCCCGACTACATTAATTTAAGTGCGCTACTCGATTGGCAACTAGGTCCCTCCATTTTACTGTTGATGTATCCATCATTTATACTCTAAAAATTTTTTCTCGCACTTTCCACCTTTCTTGATTCTCTGATGACTATAATCTTCAAAAATTTAAATGTAACGTCAATCGTCATCTGCTGTCTTCTTGAAGCTTGTTCCTTTTTACCCTTTTCTCAATCCTTCCCATTTTCAATCTTCTCATTCTCATTCATTTTTACTCTCTGTAACACCTTGAGTTCTAGTGGCATTGTTAAATGATAAAAAAACGCTTTAACAACTCAATGGGGTGGGAAACAATGAATACATCAAAAACTAAAGATATAGCGTTCCATCCTTGCCGAGCAGAACCTGAATTTTCGTCTATCGTATTGAAGGTGTGTTCTCTCAAGAAGGCCCCTTTGCCTTGAACGCCTATTGGAATTTAAGCCCACTCAAACTGGAACACGTATATACAACTCATGCTGGGAAAAATGATTGGTTCTCTGTAGAGCTCCAGTAAGTACCCGACTCCGCTTGCTATGCTCTACCTTTACAAGAGCTAGATCACACCGAAAATGGGTTCTTGCTGCCATATCTGGGCTGGTGTTGCCCAGTGTTCACTTTCCAGTTGATAGAGTTCAAAAGCGTCTACGCTGTTTTTTGGGTGATTAACTGTTTTCGATTCAACAACACATTGCAAGCCTCTCGTTACTCTCCCGCTATTTCTATAGAAAATGTTCCAATGAGCTACACTCCTTAGTCCCCCCCCCAATTCTAAAACTCCTAGTAAAGACCCGGCAGGCAGTCTACATTGAGGTCAACAACATTCATTCCCTTTGTATTCCTTTAGTAATGAGCAAGTTCCACTTGGATAGCTTCTTTTCAAGAACTGTTGCTTTGTGGAACAGAATCCCGTAAGGACAATTTTAACTTCTTCAAGTCTAGCGTTAATCGTTATCTCTCAACACATAAACGTTGCTCTTTTCGTTCACACAACAGGCGCCTTCAATAAGCCTCTACCCTTGAGCTTCGTATAGAGTGAACATTAGTAAGAAAATATAATAAAAACATCAATGTGAGCTGAAATGAACTTGATACGATTATCTATCAAAGTATCAAATATTAATATATCCTGAAAAACTTTCTTAATATCCGTTGGTTAATAACAAATTTATTATGAAAACATTGAATTGTATTATTCTGTTGATATAGTGTAGATAGATAGATAGATAGATAGATAGATAGATATAAATAGACTTACATACATACATACGGATAAATACATACATACATTCATACATGCATATACAGGTAAGGTAATGTAAGGAATCACAATTTTTTAAACATCTTGATGAAGAAATTTTATAAATAAAAATTGTAATCCCAACGTTTTATAAATTCACCTTACAAACCAAAAAGAAGTTCATCCCCTTTTCCTTTTAATATTTATTTTTCATTTTTCAAAATACAACACAGAAAACTTTAGCGCGCAACTAATTATCTGTTCTTTTTTTTTATTATTAATTCTGGGCTAAATTTTTTTAATCCATTTTTGTTTTATTTCATTCTTTTGTCAGTTCTCATGGCGTTCCAGCTACGATTCAAATCCAAGTGAAAATATTTCTTTTTGAACTCCACTGTGTTCAAAATCCTGGATCCACTTCCATAAAGAGAATGACAGTGAAGAAATTGAAGCAAAGCAAATATAGATGTGAAAATCATTTTTTTAAAATTTTTTTTTTTTTTACTAATTTAAAAATATTACTTCTCATGTGTCTTCGCGGAATAATTTATTTGGGTAGTTGCCGAATTTTTGGAAATATTTCATTTTTTTTATAACGTCTCTTGATTTCTCCGAGGCACCGTTGCTCAGTCATAGCCGACACACCATTCGTTGGTTTTCTCCACAATTAATTAAAACTGTAATATTTTTTGATACTTCAGTCGGTTTCAGCAAACATAATCTTGTAAGGCAACCAAATGATGTCATAAGAAAAGAATCAGTAAGTGCAAATGAGTAATAAAAATTCGTTCTTGGTATAGTTATTGTTACATTATATCCTTTTTTTTCAGGTGGATGAAAATAAATTATCTATGAAGATATTAAGCTGAAATATAGTTTTATAATCTTAGTAATAGACACGGGCAAATACTATCACGGAATTTAAAAAAAAGTGAAATATTTGCTGTTAAACTTTGTAAACTCTGAAAAGTCATATATATATATATATATATATATATATATATATATGAGTGAAATTCTTTTTTATGTTACTCGAGGCATTGATTTTCACGGAATGGTAGTTGTAGAAAAGGAAGAATGCGGAAACTGTAACTTGTTTAAAAATATTTTTGCCTAAATCCAAACATAAAAAAAACAGAACAATCAACATTCAGGCGTTTATCTGTGTCTCGAATTCAACTTCTTATTTCCAGTTCTTGGTGCTGGCAATAATTCTATTTTTCTCGGTACGAATTCTATTTTCTCTTTGCTGTTTTGTGTGTCATCCTTGGAGGCTGAAGGAAAAGGAATGTTAAATTTGTCTTTGCACAGGTAAATAAACACGTATATGAATCGACAGAAAAATGGTGGAATATTTGACAGATGTTGCCGAAACTCGAAAGAGGGGTCAAATGTCAAAATGTGATTATATTTCAAGATGGTTAAGGTTAGACAGAGCCTTCGTTCAAGCGAAATAAATCACATCTCAATTTCTTTGTCTACTGTGAACGAAAAATACAAACGGTAAATAAAAAGCACGAATTACAGAGATTGACTTGCTCTTTTCTGTTAATTCACCACAAAATATTAATTCACCCTCCACCCCGCCAAAAAAAAGAATTTATATTTAATAAAATCACACTAAATTATCCAGGAGCAAGGCTCATCCATTGCACTTCGGTTGCAATTTGATTGATTTTTTTATTAAATTTTTGGCATTTTGAAACTATAAATATTAAATCAAAATTTGTTTATCTTGCCTCGTAACAACTCTGTAATGACGAAAGTATGCAGATGTAGGATTTAAGAAAGCTTTATTCAAGTGAGAATACAAGGTTTGCGTATAGTGTCCTTTTATAGTCCCAGTAAACAGAAATAGCTCTCTCAAAGAGGAGAGTAACAAAACAAGAGGAGAACACTCTTGATTATTCATAACAAACTCCAACACTCAGAATAAAAAAATATCAAAAATCAGTTATTTACATTTCGTAAGTACGGATGATATTCGAGGTACTCACAAGGAGAAAACAAAATCTGTTTTTGGCTTGTTTATCGGAGTGAGCGCTAACTGAGATTCGTCGCCCAGAAATAACATTTAAGGCGAACACAAAGATCAATCCAACCGGAAGGGTTTCGCTCCGGGAGAATTTGGTGTGAATTTTCGTAAATATAAATTTTTTTTTATTTAGGAGTGAATTAATATTTTGGAGTGAATTAACAGAAAAAGATCCCATTATAATTAAGATACCAGAAGATTTTAAACATTAAAATAAACACAAGGTAAAATTTACTAAATTTTTATAATTAAGAGTACCCAACCGGAGCATCGCGCACCAAAACACATTTTTAGAAATATACATATAAGATTCAGAGCAGAATAGACAGTATCAACCTAGCAACCCCCACAGCAAAATTCGCATGAGACACAGCCGCAGGCTCTCATAAACGTACGTATATCTTTCACATTTTCTGTAAACGAATTATTGTACAGCATATACTTTTACGTTTATATGCTGTAAATGATAAAGAAATATATTTACTGGCAACAATCATTCCTTACTTCTGCTAAGTAAAAGAGAAAGTCATGAATCAACTGTTTAAGATACTCAAGGCAACTAAAAGAATGCACTTTCGATTACAAGCATTCATAACATCTTAAATGAAACAGCGCCTAATTGAACAAACGACATGTTTACAGTAATATTATATAATATTCTATGCCTATTTCTGTGGTAACTAACGAACAGAAAGAAATCCAAATGAAGAAAATTACAAAAGACCCCTTAAAATGCCCATAACTGTAGATTTACTTTTATTACAGCCAATAGGATGAACAGTCTTCTTTTAATAAGAGAAGTTAGAATTAATGCATGCAATATATCACAGCTCCAGTATCACTCTTTCTTGGTCAGCCTATGAACTTTTCAGTCCACCCATCGTATGTGGTGTAATAAATCTATGTACAAATGTTTAATTACTGTCTTTGAAATTCACTTAAAAAAAACGCTACCAAATTTCTCAAGATTGTGGAATGATGGAAAAGTACTGAGTCGGAAAAAAATTGTGTAGCGTTCTTTTAAGTAAATTTCAGCGACAATAATTAAACATGTGTACATAGATTTATTACATCACATACGATGGTGGAATTTGGGCGTACCTCGACGTGGTGTAATGATTACCAAACTGGTCTCATTAGATCAATTACGTCTGAATAGTGTATTCGATCCTCACTGGGTGCCCCATACTTCTGGCTTTTTGCTATATCTAACTTAAAAGTAATAAAATCACTATACGAAGGTAGACTGAAAAGTGTATAGGCTGATTATGAAGTCGCGTGTTCAAGCGACACCTATTGAAAAACGCTTTGTTCCAATCTAATATAATCATTGTCCGACGATGTTCCAACATAAAGCTGCAACTGTGTAGGAACACTCTACCTATATATATATATATATATATATATATATATATATATATATATATATATATATATTAATCACCTCAAGCAAGGCGGAAATACCACTAGTACGCATGGAGTTACAGGGAGTGAAAATGAGAGAGAAAACATGGTGGTTTGAGAAAAGAACAAAAAGGAACGGAGTTCAAGAAGATGGAAGATGGAGATGGACGTAGCATTTACATTTTTGTAGTTATCAAGGAAGCAAGTAAATGGAAGTGGCTTCCACCTGTGGGAAGTGCGAGAAAATAAACTCTTAGAGTAGAAGTGGCCGTTGTATTTAGTCATTTCAACAGTATACTAGATGCCAATCTAGTAGCCCGCTTAAATTCATGCCGTTGAAGCACCAGGAAAAAGGTTCTTCAGAGCAGTTGTCATAAAAACAGTTGTAGAAAAAGCTACGACACGTCGGAGAGATATTGACGGAAAACGAGATCCCAAATCAGGATCGATTACATTACAGATCCTTCTTTGGATTTTGTCAAGAACCTCGAGATGAAAAAGAAGGGCACCAGACCAGATATGGCAGCAGTAATTCAATACACGAGCGAATGGCAGATTTGTAAATGTGCAAGATGGACTCTGACAAAAAAAAAAAATTCTGTTACTAAAACAACTTTCCTTGCAGTAGATGCAGCTATTGATTCGATGTAGACGCTCCATTTCAAGTCAATTTAAAAACATAAGGCAAAGAAGGCGCAGTATGTTATAATCAATTGGCCCCAAGCAAGGCGATAATACTACTAAGATGCGAAGGGCTATTGGGATTGAAATAGAATTAAATTACTTTAGAAGTAACCAGAAACCCAATCCTAAACAGGAAGCAAATGATAAACCTCAAGTCTTATTTAAAAAATTGAGGAGGTGTGTGAAGCAGACGATAGGCGGACATGTCTGTTCCTATTGGCAAAGAAACACCTTAAGAATTGATATGTTTTGTAAATTTCCTAGGGAGGACATTGGACGTAACCAGTATTGGGGTGTGAACATCTACCCCAATGAATCAAATTTTTATTTAGTATTTCCGGAAGGTTTTCAAATGCAACAAACAGCAAGTAACCTACATAATGAAATTGTGTAAATGGCTGACTAAAGACTGAGAGTGACAGTAAGAGGGAAATTTGTGGAGAGTCATAATCGAGAGTCCTGAAGTAACTCGACATGAACAGAAATTGCTTTTGATGGGTATAAATCATTAGCAAGGACACTAATGACGTTCTGAAATTTTTTTTTATCGTTCTCGTAAAGTAAAATCTATAAAGAGAAAAAAACTACAGGATGTGTAAACATCACACATTATAAGTAGTGGTTCGATATGTTTGCATTATTTTATATAAATATGTTTTGAAAAGAGTCTAATCTTTTTGAAAAAAATAAACTTTCCCGCTATAACTATGAAAGATGGAGGAGGTAGTCAATTTTGTATTCAGTGCAAAATCCACACGAAATCGTTTATTTCAAAATATTTACGAAAACTATCCGATAAACACTGTTATCAGATTCGAATCAATTTGATTGGCATAACTTGAAAATAATAACTTTCTCTGTTTGCCACTATATACTCTTGTCTCTGTGTA